CCGTATGTTATCAGGAGGCTTATCAGGAAATATTGACATATTTGAGGTAATAAAATGCCTAACCTGTMAATATCTAAAGAAGTGTGAGGCTGKTAAGTCAAATTTGTTAGACATTTGTTCAAAAGAAGCAAATTTGTTTTCAATGTAGAGCTTAAAATATTTTAGGCCTTTACTTTGCCACACACCAAAAGTAGCATCCTGCAACGAAGGAGGAAAAAGGTCATTGAATGCAATTGGACTGGAGAGACTCATCYGACGTAGGCCAAAGAATGCTTGCCTAAACTGGATAAGGCATGTGCTTCAACAGAGGATGCTGGCCAACTCCATTCATTCATCTTTTCAGCTTCTTGATTAGGTTGATGCAGGTTGTTGGTTTATAGGATTAAGATAATATTAAACGGTATTGGGATTATGTGAATCATTACTGAGCTGACATGAATCAGGTTGGTAACCTCAAAGGGAGAACAAAATTAGTTTGTCACACCAAATGAATCAGTCAACTAGCACAAATAACAAAATCCATTATTTAAATCCTACTTAAATAATTTAGATGTAAGCAAAACAAAAGTTGAACTATTCAGTATTTCTGTCTGTAAAGTTTATACATTAAATAATTCATCAATCAGTCTCATATTTTCCTAAACAAATTAACTCAGTTACTTTCAAGTAAAACAAGTAAAAAGAACAAAACAAACATACCAATAGCATCTCTGTTGGTAACTTAGCACTGAAACAGGGTGAATCAGAATGAATCAGGTTCACTCTGCTTGTAAAACCATGCCTGGAACCAAACAAGCCCTGCCCAGGATACCTGATTAAAAGGCAGTTTCTCCCTACTTTGCATGTGTGGAGTCCAAGCCAGCACACCTACCCAGGTGTACYACAAATACTGCCATCTACTGCTAAACAACATCATGAAAAACAAACAAAGTAACACATTTTGACTCAATCYATTGGTATTAATCACGTGTCTATTGCAAAATATTTTATTATTAATTTATTGCCCAGGCATATAGGGTTGAATATTTTTGGAATGTGTTGTCATGATCTGTGTTTTCATCTTCATTTTCTTTGTGTTTCTCTGTTCCCCTGTGTTTTCCTTTCCCTRCTGTCTTGCYTCCAGCCCCGCCCAMGCTCACCTGATTCCTCTTGTGTCTTTCCAGGTGTTTCGCATTGTCTCTTAATTTGTTTGCTTTATATTCTGTACCCAGTCTTTAGTCTTTGTCAGATCATTGTTTTGTTCTGTCCTCCTCATTCCTGCCTGTCAATGAGCACTTGTGAGTTTTTGAGCTGCCTCGCCAGCGGTTTTTGAGTTCATTATTAAACCTTGACTTGACATAACATCTTTGTAGAGATCTTTGCATCAATCCAAAAGTTCTTTTGCTCCTAAATCATATAGATCTGCCCTAATTTCATTCATTATTATTTTTTAATTTGTCGTTTAACATAGACAACAACATGGGGTCACTGTGSTATAACATTATTACCTAATAAAGTCCACTTTCTGACTAACATTCAATCTGTGCTGGAACATTGTTGCAATCTTTCTACAGGGCACTGAAATAAAACTGCAGTGTGCTGTCATCAGCTTGTCATGTTGTCATAAGATATTCATGGAGACGTTTTGACAGAGATACCATCATACATGGTGCTGCAMCTTTTACAGTAATAGGAAGAAAGTTTGCAACAAATGTACATTTAAAAATAAAGAACCCAGTGTTTTTTTTTTTTTTACAATTTAAGCATTTATAGTTTTCAGCAGAGATTCAAACCCAAATTAGGCAGTTCATTAGGCAGTTCTTGATTAGCTTTGTTTTGTATTCTGTTATATTTTGTTGACATATTTGTTAAGCACGTGAAAAGCTGAAAGCCAAAATTGTGTTAAAATTTTAAGTTTGAAATCCAGAAATAACAACTGAGTTCACTTATTAAATGGGAGTACTGGTGGCAGTGTGATATTTATAGGGCGGCTTCAGCAGGTCCATGTGTATAATATAAAATTCTGGCCAAAAGGGAAATAGATTAATACTTATGCTCGTGTAATTATTCTACTAGAAGAGAATTCATCTGCAGGAGAAGTTGYTGCTTTGATTGATTGATTGAGCTGATTTAGCAAAGTTTGTATTCAAAAACTTTGCTAGAAACAAAACTATGTAAAATGCACAAGCCAGGAGATATWTTTTTTCCTTGTCCAACTCTGCTTTTCTCAGTAGCTAATTTGATCCTCCTCCRTCCCGTCTTCAAAGACATCTCTCAGTGATTTGGCCTTATCCATCTCTTTTTGTTGATGTGACAGCATTGTGAGGGTCCAAGCAGCAGGCATACACATTTGCTTCAGTTAATAATGGATCTAATGAGCATCAGCCCAAATGAGCTTTTAATGATCTCTGTYCACCTAAGGCTACAGAGTGAGGGATGGGGTGGATGATACGAAGAAGCAGAAAGATGAACGAGTAAAGAAACAAGTGAGGGAGAGGTCACGACTGTACGATAGATCAGTTAACATTAAATACAGAAATCATTTTATTTTCGTATTGTATGTTCTTGTAACTTAATGGTTCACACTTTGTATTTATGTCCTAACTGCCTGATAAACCTGAGTTAGGGTTGTTCAATTCCAGACAATTAAAAAAAGCTACTCAAAAGACAGTTTCAATCATTTCTGTTGGTGATTAGATTTGCAAATGCTTTATTCCCTCAGTCAGTTAGAGTCTATATAAACTGCACTGCAGTTTTTCATAACTTTGAGGATCATTAGTTTTGAGTTATTCCCTCGTGTTATCAAAAATTATATCTACACAAAACTTGACTGCTTTTGCTTGATTTAACTTTATAGATTTAATTCTGAAAACTATCACTTGTGATTCAGATGCATCTGTGTGATGACAGAACACTCCAGCTTCGYAGTTTCAGTCAAACTGAATGCTCAGCACACATTGCAGAAAGATTTGTGACAATGCTCATTTGACCGATCTTTTTTTTTTTTTGCTATTTAATGAAAAACACAGTCAAACAACAGCTTGAAAACACAACTATGAGTCATAGTGTGCRTTCTCAAAAGACTATCAGAGCCAGTCAGCAGACAGCTACGTTACTTTCAGTGGAAAGTTACAAAACTTGATGCACAATAATCACATTCTTTAAATTATGAAATAAACAAAATACTGCTGATTGCTGGAAAATTTTGGTTTTAAAGTTCTTGTGCATAATTGTAAAAATACCATGATAAAAATACTAAAACAAAACGGCTTTCTAAGTAATCTGAGTACCTGATGCTCCACTCAAATAACAGATTGTTGGATTYACTTAAASAAGTTACATCAACAATTCCCACTCAACTAAGTTGAAACAACTTTCATATTTATTTTYAAAGAAAATGTGAAAGTTGCTTTACCTTTACTTAAMTTAGCTGARTGAAASTYGTTGACATAACTTGATTAAGTAAATCCAATAATATATTTTTTTAGTTTGCAGTGTGTAGCTTAAACGGTTAGAATAAACATTTTTAATTCATCACATCAGCTCCAAAAGGTATTTCTAACTTTCCTACAATAGCCATCATCATAAAAAAAGGATTATTAAGACAAACCAGACAGTAAGCTCTGTCTGAAGGCGAGCATTCAAATTTTACAATATTAAGACAACTATGTGTATCTTAGACAAGCAGTTGGGATTACGTCTTACAGTTTTATGAAAAAGAATAATCCAGTACTGACCTTTTCAGACTACTGAGTTTTAAACAAAGTTATAATAAAACGTTCACTTTCATATTTATTCCTTTCAACTTTCCAAGTTCTCTCCACTGTCAGGAAGCCTAGCAAAAGTCTCTGCACATAATCTTGCCACGCCATTGTATTTTCAGTTTTCTTCCATGAATCTACTTCCTTGTTCTTTCATGACCATGTTTTCCTGTTGAACAGTGCAGTTGTATGGAGAGGTCCCTTGTATCTTCCAGATAAATCTGTTTCTTAAATAAAGAAGAAATAAATATATTTCTTATTTAAAATGTATTTAAATGAAACAAAAAAATGCTGCTTAATAGTCTTTGGAAACCATACTAGACTTTATTTGCAAAAACTACCCCAATAAAAATGTATGGCCAAAATCTAGCTTTGCATGTTGTGCACACAGTGGTTTAGGGAAGCTTGTTTTACTTTTTACTGCATTAAAGGTACCAAAAATCTGAGTTATAAAGAAATACAACGTGGGAT